TATCGGCAAGTCTTGATCAGTTGATCTGCTGGTATAACATCACAATGATCTATATCAGCAAGTCTAGATCAGTTGATCTCCTGGTATAACATCACAATGACTTATATCGGCAAGTCTAGATCAGTTGATCTCCTGGTATAACATCACAATGATCTATATCAGCAAGTCTAGATCAGTTGATCTGCTGGTATAACATCACAATGATTTATATCAGCAAGTCTAGATCAGTTGATCTGCTGGTATAACATCACAATGACTTATATCGGCAAGTCTAAATCAGTTGATCTCCTGGTATAACATCACAATGATTTATATCGGCAAGTCTAGATCAGTTGATCTCCTGGTATAACATCACAATGATCTATATCGGCAAGTCTAGATCAGTTGATCTCCTGGTATAACATCACAATGATTTATATCGGCAAGTCTAGATCAGTTGATCTGCTGGTATAACATCACAATGATTTATATCGGCAAGTCTAGATCAGTTGATCTCCTGGTATAACATCACAATGATCTATATCCGCAAGTCTAGATCAGTTGATCTCCTGGTATAACATCACAATGATCTATATCGGCAAGTTGAGATCAGTTAATCTCCTGGTATAACATCACAATGATTTATATCGGCAAGTCTAGATCAGTTGATCTGCTGGTATAATATTACAATGATTTATATCAGCAAGTCTAGATCAGTTGATCTGCTGGTATAACATCACAATGATCTATATCGGCAAGTCTAGATCAGTTGATCTGCTGGTATAACATCACAATGACTTATATCAGCAAGTCTAGATCAGTTGATCTGCTGGTATAACATCACAATGATTTATATCAGCAAGTCTACATCAGTTGATCTGCTGGTATAACATCACAATGATTTATATCAGCAAGTCTAGATCAGCTGATCTGCTAGTATAACATCATAATGATTCATATTGTCAAGTCTAGATCAGTTGATCTGCTTGTATAATATTACAATGATTTATAACAGCAAGTCTAGATCAGTTGGTCTGCAAGCTTAAAATTACAATGATTTATATTGGCAAGTCTACATCAGTTGGTCTGCTAACTTAGAACATTACAATGATTTATTTCGGCAAATCTTGGAGTTTTAATCTTTATCAACTTATGTTGATTATTTGATATTAAAAGTCACTCAGTTCGCAACATAAATTGTATCATGTGAGTCTTTGGCAAGAACAACAAATGTTTGGCATTCCTAAAAGACGCCATTTAAGATACAGAAACATGTGAGGATAATAATCTCTCCATCATATCAAGTCCTTCTTACAATTATTAGAATATTTTCACTCAAAGTAACAGCTTTTGAAACTGCATAGGAATACTATGTTTGAGTAAAGGCACCATTTGTCATATAGCGCCAATTACCAAGTTCATTTGATCAGTTTACTGCAATGATAATGTTGGCCATAATACTCTAGTCATATCAAGTTAAAGTTTGTTTGTTTGTTTGTTGTATAATACCGTTCTCAGCAATATTCCAACTCTATGACAGCGGTCTATAAAATAATCGAGTCTGGACCAGACAATCCAATGATTGACATCATGAGCATCAATCCACGCAATTAGGATCGATGACATGTATCAATTAAGTCAGCGAGCCTGACCAACCACCCGATCTCGTTAGTCGCCTCTTACGACAAGCATAGTCACCTTTTTTGGGTTGCTGAAGACATATTCTACACCGGATCTTCACAAGTTAAAACATGATTCTTTCGTATCACTATAGTTAATATGTCATGCCAGATTATCTATAGTACCATAAACTACAGTTATAAAGAACTCAAGGGGACCAGTAAGTTTAGTTCGCAATAACTGTAGTTCGTTATAAGCATATATACAACAAATGGCTGGGACTAAAAAATAAGTTCGTTATATCGGTCACGTCATTATAAGCGTGTTCGTTATAAACGTAGTTCACTGCAATATGAAAGAATCAGGTGTTGTTTTAACTTGTTTGGAGTAGAATATGACAAATACTTGTATTGTTTTGTATGGATAAATGACCTGCTGATCCATGTGTTGACACAGGGCATTGCAATCCCCTGTAAATCGCTCACCCCGAAAAGAGTGAGTGAGTGAGTGAGTTAGGTTTAACGCCGCTTTTAACAATATTCCAGTTATATCGCGGCGTGTCAGCTTAATGTGGGAGGAAAGCCCGAAGTGATGCAGGTCTCAGACGTTTACCACTTCGGTGAAACCAACGAGCACGGGTATGGTGCTGACAAACCTAGAAACATAATTGGGGCGAACCTGGATTCGAACCCACAATCATAGGTTTCTGGCGTGACCAAGGGACGCAACTCTGCACAGCGAATCGCGGCGCCTTAGACAACTGGGCCACCCGTGCCCCCCCACCCCGAAAAGGGGGTCTTGAGCTGGTGTGCACTTATTAAAGTGAGGCCGGTAGATCTCCTCCATCACCTCCAAATAAACGAGTGTGACCCCACGATGTCGTGGTCCTCGTCAACTGTAAGCCCTCATCAAGGGACATTCACATCTATGCTAATGGCATTGCCCTGTGGCCAGGATGTCGTTTTTTACTCTGACAATGATAACTGTACGTGTGTAACTTGAAAAAAGACAAAGCCAGTGGAAGATTGGGGAACAGCAAGAGGAGATAAGTGTCTAGCTGATGAAGGGAAGTGGGGAGGGTAGTGGCGCCTTGTACCCCCATTAGGGGGAGACGGGGGTGATTAATGATGCCGGGGACACCTCCCTTAAAGCTCCTTTCTCATGCTCAGATTCATAATAAGCTCCCTCTGGTGGCCAAAAGTATTCTGGTCACGCCCCAGTCGTTTCACAACAGGTGTAGGGGCACCTTGCCAGGCAGCTGACAGAGGATAGCTGACACAGTGACCCTGGTGAATACATTCACCTCTTTATCCTGGACACTACATCCTTGCCAGAATCCTGAGAATGATAGCTGATATTGTGACCCTTGTGAATACATTCAACTCTCTATATTGGACACAACATCCTTGCCAGAATCCTGAGAATGATAGCTGAAATTGTGACCCTTGTGAATACATTCAACTCTTTATACTGGACACTACATCCTTGCCAGAATCCTGAAAATGATAGCTGAAATTGTGACCCTGGTGAATACATTCACCTCATTATACTGGACACTCCATCTCAACTGGATGTTAACCAATCATGACTGTGGCCCTGATCAATATATCCACCCAATCAAAATGAAACCTACATTTCTTGCAAGACAGTTAGAATATTGTGACCTTGTGTATCCACACACCTGTTTATAGAGGACATGCTTCTAATCCCCAGGTGTACAGGTACATTGGACGCAATACTTCAAGGACTTATTAATGTACTGCACTATGCCCTGACTTGTAATCTGATACACCTATTATCATGTTAATCTGACACGCCTTCCTGACATTCGTCCCCATACAGTTTCACATTGTATAAAGTTAATCATTGTCAACTCAAAACGCACAATTAAATGACTCATGTGTGTGTCAGCATACACTGAGGGGACCAAAACATGTCAATTACATGAGGAAATATTCAAGCGTTAATTTCATAACCACTGACAAAGTTTTTCTGACTTGAATTAACCTACAAACTCACAGTCATCGATCAACCAGATACTGACAATTATATTCACTTAATCGTGTGTGCAGGAAAATCGGCAAATTATTCACCGAGTGTCAAATTCTGACACAAAACTGGTACATATTTAAACACACAGACTGTCTGTTCCACAGGCAGAAAGAAGGCTTTCCACGATCCACCAGAGCAAATCCTGCGTGTACAATACCCCTTCCTGGGGTTGCCTGCACGTGGTAGGCTTGGCCTTACCGTGTTTGTGACAAACATTCTACAACAACACAAGTCAAACTGATAAATGTTGTTGAGAATAGGCATTGTGGGAGTAACAAAGTCTCCCCCGAGGGGGCCGGGGCTGTGGAGCTGGTGCAGACTGGCAGCTCCCTAGGGCTCCACTTACGTATATATGCATGACAGCCAGTCCGCTCAGTCACCCATATTCTGTACTTCGGATCGGAGATTTGATATTCGGTGAAAGAGACGAACTTTTGTTTGAGGATATTTTTAAAAACTGCTTTAAGATAACAATTTCTTTATCTTAAAGGGGGTGATGACACATTTTCCAGCATTTTTTTTTTTCGAAATAATCCCAGCCCCGCAACCAATATGAAAATGGTCGGTCCCCTGCCACAGTTGAACTCTCAGCAGAGAAAGCCAATGGGTGGTGGGTGAGCGGGTGGATCGGCATTTGGGTGAGTGGGTGGATGAGCAGGTGGGTGGCCGCGGGTGGGATGGACGTTTGGGGATCAGCGTTTGGGTGAGAGCAGATGGATGGGCGGATGGATGAGCAGGTGGGTGGGCGAGGGTGGGCGAGGGTGGGATGGGCATTTGGGTGCGCGGATGTATGGGCGTTTGGGTGTGCAGGTGGATTGGCGTTTGGGTGAGCAGATGGATGAGCGGGTGGACGGGCGTTTGGGTGAGCGGGTGGATCAGCGTTTGGGTGAGCAGGTGGATATGCATTTGGGTGAGCAGATGGATGAGCTGTTTGATCAGCATGTGAGTTAATGTTTGGGTGAGCGGGTGGCTGAGCGGGTGGCTGAGTTTATTGAGTGAGTTTATTTTCAGATTACAGATTTGACAGATTCAAAATACAAAATCAGAAAATGGTGACTTCTTGTCTTATTTTGCTTTCTCATTGATGAAAAAGAAATCATCCAAATCATCATCAAACATAATCCCATTTTCATGAAAATCAGCATCCTGAACACCATCATCACTGAGATCCCCACCACTCCACTGTCAGCAGCAAGTTGCCCTTCCCACCCTGCCAGGCATACTGAAGATATTGAATGCTGAAGACCAGTGTTATTAGCAGGAGAATGTCCACTGGAGATTCCAACATGCCAGCTCTATTGGAACCAGATGGGCAGGCAAACATCAGCCTGGATGAAACTGGCTACATTTCATAACACAGCAGACAGCAGGGGCCTGAATAACACAGCAGACAGGGTCTGACACTGGAGTCTGAATAACACAGCAGACAGGGTCTGATACTGGTGGAGCCTCAATAACACAGCAGACAGGGTCTGATACTGGAGTCTGAATAACACAGCAGACAGGGTCTGATACTGGTGGAGCCTCAATAACACAGCAGACAGGGTCTGATACTGGTGGAGCCTGAATAACACAGCAGGCTGGGTCTGATACTGGAGTCTGAATAACACAGCAGACAGGGTCTGATACTGATGGAGCCTGAATAACACAGCAGACAGGGTCTGATACTGGTGGAGCCTACATAACACAGTAGACAGGGTCTGATAACTGGTGGAGCCCGAATAACACAGCAGACAGGGTCTGACACTGGTGGAGCCTAAATAACACAGCAGACAGGGTCTGATACTGGTGGAGCCTACATAACACAGTAGACAGGGTCTGATAACTGGTGGAGCCTGAATAACACAGCAGACAGGGTCTGATACTGGTGGAGCCTGAATAACACAGCAGACAGGGTCTGACACTGGTGGAGCCTGAATAACACAGCAGACAGGGGCTGACACTGGTGGAGTCTGAATAACACAGCAGTCAGGGTCTGATACTGTTAGAGCCTGAATAACACAGCAGACAGAGTCTGACACTGGTGGAGCCTGAATAACACAGCAGACAGGGTCTGACACTGGTGGAGCCTGAATAACACAGCAGACAGGGGCTGACACTGGTGGAGCCTAAATAACACAGCAGTCAGGGGCTGACACTGGTGGAGTCTGAATAACACAGCAGACAGGGGCTGATACTGGTGGAGCCTAAATAACACAGCAGACAGGGTCTGACACTGGTGGAGCCTGAATAACACAGCAGACAGGGTCATTACACTGGTGGAGCCTGAATAACACAGCAGACAGGGGCTGACACTGGTGGAGCCTGAATAACACAGCAGACAGGGGCTGACACTGGTGGAGTCTGAATAACACAGCAGACAGGGTCTGACACTGGTGGAGTCTGAATAACACAGCAGACAGGGTCTGACACTGGTGGAGCCTGAATAACACAGCAGACAGGGGCTGACACTGGTGGAGCCTGAATAACACAGCAGACAGGGGCTGACACTGGTGGAGCCTGAATAACACAGCAGACAGGGGCTGGCACTGGTGGAGTCTGAATTACACAGCAGACAGGGGCTGACACTGGTGGAGTCTGAATAACACAGCAGACAGGGTCTGACACTGGTGGAGCCTGAATAACACAGCAGACAGGGTCTGACACTGGTGGAGCCTGAATAACACAGCAGTCAGGGTCTGACACTGGTGGAGTCTGAATAACACAGCAGTCAGGGTCTGATACTGTTAGAGCCTGAATAACACAGCAGACAGGGTCTGACACTGGTGGAGTCTGAATAACACAGCAGTCAGGGTCTGATACTGTTAGAGCCTGAATAACACAGCAGACAGGGTCTGACACTGGTGGAGCCTGAATAACACAGCAGTCAGGGTCTGATACTGTTAGAGCCTGAATAACACAGCAGACAGGGTCTGACACTGGTGGAGCCTGAATAACACAGCAGACAGGGTCTGACACTGGTGGAGCCTGAATAACACAGCAGACAGGGTCTGACACTGGTGGAGCCTGAATAACACAGCAGACAGGGTCTGACACTGGTGGAGTCTGAATAACACAGCAGACAGGGTCTGACACTGGTGGAGCCTGAATAACACAGCAGACAGGGGCTGATACTGGTGGAGCCTGAATAACACAGCAGACAGGGGCTGACACTGGTGGAGCCTAAATAACACAGCAGACAGGGTCTGACACTGGTGGAGCCTGAATAACACAGCAGACAGGGTCATTACACTGGTGGAGCCTGAATAACACAGCAGACAGGGTCTGACACTGGTGGAGCCTGAATAACACAGCAGACAGGGTCTGACACTGGTGGAGTCTGAATAACACAGCAGACAGGGGCTGATACTGGTGGAGCCTGAATAACACAGCAGACAGGGTCTGATACTGGTGGAGCCTCAATAACACAGCAGACAGGGTCTGATACTGGTGGAGCCTCAATAACACAGCAGACAGCATGGGCCTGAATAACACAGCAGACAGGGTCTGATACTGGAGTCTGAATAACACAGCAGACAGGGTCTGATACTGGAGTCTGAATAACACAGCAGACAGGGTCTGATACTGGTGGAGCCTGAATAACACAGCAGACAGCAGGGGCCTGAATAACACAGCAGACAGGGTCTGTTACTGGAGCCTGAATAACACAGCAGACAGGGTCTGACACTGGTGGAGCCTAAATAACACAGCAGACAGGGTCTATCACGTGACCAGACTTTTCTTTTGTTTGTAAACAAACACACTTATTCTGAAATAAAAACAGGCAGGCCTAATGCAAGCCTTTTGGTGCACCATAGATATTGTTTTGCATAATTATATAGACATACTACGACAACTGCGACAGTGATGTGCATGACAATATAGCTTTACACAAGGTGATCACATCGCTACCTCTCCGTAGGGCTCCGATGACAGGACGTGGAAGATGAAGACACTAATGGAAATAGTTTTTCATGTCTTAGGATATTTTCTCAATGAAAGTTAAACATTTCGTGACGTATGTTTATCTAAATGTGTAAACACATCCAAAATGAAACAGATGAAAAACACACTGGACTGTGTAAGATCATAAGATGTGGCGATGTGGCAGAGCTACTCGGCAGGCCGAAAGGAACACTACGGAAGATTGGCTTCATGTATGACCGACGCATATTAATATTGCAATCTGGGCTGTGAGAAAAACTGGCCTCTAATCAAATCAAGCAGGCAATAAGTATTTTGTAACTCAGCCGAAAAAAATAAGAACAAAAACACAAGACTGAAGCCAGTTTACACTGCACATTACTTGTGTTGTCGGCTTCACTGTACGGAGCTCTATTCTTTTGGTTTGAGAACTGAATCGGGCATGTGACGTCACACACAAAAAAACAATAAGTCCAGGCCGGTACAAACCGCTATGTAAGGGCAATAATATTAACCGTGATGTTAAACCCCATTTCACCTCGCCTCACCACAGTTGAAATAGCATGTTATTTAGACAAGGGGAGATAAGCCAGGTTGTCTACAATCTTTCAAAAGTCAAAACAGCAGCAGCAAGCTTTTTGTATCCTCTTTCCACCAGAGACCAAAGAGTTCCACAAAGGGGAATAAACAGGAATTCTTACAACACTTTTGGGTTTTCCCTTGTAAACAACGACAAAATACCTTGCATATATCAAAAATATTTGGATAGTTGTTTTTCATACAATATATGTTTCACCTTTAATTTCTTCACAAAAAGTGTTTTGGAAGCCCATTTGATTTCCGTTACAGAAATGCCCAATAAATGTGTCATACTTCTCCGCTGAGCTTAACCATCAGTGTTTATAGTAAGTAAAACTAGTGACCTTGTTCAAAATTCCATGATTCATTAGGATGTTAAAACTCCTATCAACAAATATTATAATATATATATTTTAACATGTTTTCTTAAACATATATCATATGGATTATGCTATTTCATATTTGAATCATAAATCAAATGCATTCAAACTTTTGTTTATAACGAAATTCTCATCATGTCATATTAGTCATGTCAAATTATTCACTGCTTATCGAATATAAACCGTATTAAGCACTCCATCCCGCAAAGCAGCCCTGCCTGACAACTTCTACAACAGTCTGTTACTTATCATTAGACCCGTGAAGATTCCGGGTTCAGCAACCCATGCTTGCCGTAAAAGGTGACTATGCTTGTCGTAAAAGGCGACTAACGGGATTGGGTGGTCAGGCTCGCTGACTTGGTTGATGCATGTCATTGAACCCAATTGCGTGGATCGATGCTCATGATATCAATCACTGGATTGTCTGGTCCAGACTCCATTATTTACAGACCGCCATCATATAGCTGGAATATTGCTGAGTGTGGCGTTAAACAACAAACCAACCAAAACCAACTACTTATCATTATGTTAGTGCCATTACTAACCTAAACAAGAACACAAAGTCATCAATAAGGTGAACACTTGTGAATAAATACATAAAACTTGTTGCTATGGAAACCTGAAAAATATTGGTCTAAAAAATCCCAAACAATCAAAAAGCATCAGTTTGACTAGTCACCTTCGAGGCTCCGGCATACATGATCGCGAGAACCAAGTGTTAATATAGAATCGTCAAACTAAAACAAATATGACTTTTAACGAGTCAAAGTATGGCATTTATGATATATGTATCCATTCTCTGTCAAGTTAAGTTTGTTTCAAGGCGTCAATAGTGGTAATCTGAACGAGGTTGCTGTTAATAACGGTGAGTTGTGCGATCTTCCGATCGCTTCACACACAATTTTTCCGAAATTAATTAAAACAATATTAAAAGGAATTTTTGATAAAATTTATTAAATAAGTTACAAACATAAGTCCAGATATACAAAGAACACTTTTTATAGCCAGATAGTGTAATTACATGATTAATTTGCGTACTTCAGTATGGATTTGTTGACAAGGTATTTCTGGTGTTACATGCTCACGGTAATGTCTTTCCGTTTGGGTAAAAACCATCAAAACTCATTATGGCGTGTATAATGTGCACCCCCTCCTACACAGCTGTGTCTTTTGGAAAAAAAAGTGTGCACTATACTCAAGAAAATACGGTATATCGGACACTGCACATGACCATCGAGGTAAACTCAATCATCAGACCGCCTCCGTGGTCTAGTGGTAGAGCGGAAGGTCCGGGGTTCGATCCCCGGCCGTGTCATACCAAAAGACGTTAAAAGATGGTCCTTGTTGTTACCCTGTCTGGCAATCGGCATTAAGGGGCTAAAACAAGGACTGGTCGGCTCAGAGTCAGTATACTGTGTCTGAGTGGGGTATTCATGTTAAACTGCGGCATGGTATCTCAGTGTGCTAGCACTATAAATTGGCATCAGTCCGGACTAGTACAAGCAGCCACACACACACACACGTGCATGCTAGTCGCTATATAAGTGCAATAATCTTGGACGCTGAAGTTAAACCCCATTTCACCACCTCACCATCATCAGGCTGAAATATTAAAAGGCATGGATGCGGGAACACACCACGCCCTGCTACAATAATCAAAATCTCAACCTTTAAAACATATTCATTTTTCAAAGGTCTCAAATTTCTGACACCATACTCAAAATTCTAGATTTATAACCAACCAAGAAAAACATTCAAACAACAGGGCAGCACCACAAACATTATCTCCCAATAACTACCAAGATTTGTTTTCAATGTAGCTCCCTCTAATCAAGCCAATAGACCCAAACACATGACCCCTCTCTTTCTGTGGTGAACCCAATAGAACAGGCCTGGAATTCACTCCGATACTATTTCCCTCACAAATGTCAATGTCTGGCTACATCTACTACTGGTGCACAACTAGCTTTGATGCTTACAGAGGTGTTACTGAGACTTGATGTGTTTATTCGCTAACACAACATCTCAGGGTTCTGACTCCCTCCTGTAATGTACAGTTGGGTTTGGGAGACAGGAAGAGACCGGTGATATGACATTACTGCATTATCAGGGTAACCTGCCTCCAGTCAGCAACAAACACACGGGGAAGAAACGCCATACTTCATAACTGAGGTTGTTGCGTAGTCTGGAGACTCACTTTGTTCCTGTACATCCTACTCAAACAAGGATTTCAAGGATTTCAAGGATTTCACATCGAGGCTACCTTGAAGTATTTCATACCATCAAGGCTACAGTGGTGTATTTCAAAGCTGCAATGGAGTATTTCAAGGCTATAAAGGTTCCATTGGTGTATTTCAAGGATATCTAGGCTATACTGGTGTATTTCTAGGACATCAAGGCTACAATGGTGTATTTCAAGGCCATCTAAGCTACAATGGTGTATTTCAAGGACATCTAAGCTACAATGGTACAATGATCCTTGTAATTAGGATACGATGACATGCACCAACCAAGTAAGCGAGCCTGACCACCCGATTCCGCTAGTCCCCTCTTACATCAAGCATAGTCACCTTTTACGGCAAGCATGGGTTCACAGGTCTACTAATTTGTGAAAGAACCACACATTTGAGATGTGAGCAATGATCCACGCCTACAGGGTACGACGTCCGCAATCACTGACCACCCGATCCACTTGGTCTCTACATACCACCAGCACAGGAGTTTATGGTGACCTACCTCACTAGTTCCTTCAATATTTACCTAATTTCTTCCAGTCAACATCTATATAGATTGGCTACTGCTTCCAGGGATCTGCATACCTAGCAAGTTGGTTTACTTTTTAGCTACAAAGTAAGCTCTTACCCAAATCTGTACGAAGCTTGCTAATCATGATCAAACACACTCCACAATGCCGGGAACGATTCTATTTATCAATTTAATGCTACAGCATGATATCTTGTCCACAAGAAGAAAAGGTGAGGTGAAATGGGGTTTAACGTCGCGTCCAAGATTATTGCACTTATATAGCGACGTGCATGCATGTGTATGTGTGTGTTTGTGTGGTTGCTTGTACTAGTCCGGACTGATGCCAATTAATAGTGCTAGCCCCCTGAGATACCATGCCGCAGTTTAACATGAATACCCCACTCAGACACAGTATACTGACTCCGAGCCGACCTTAGCCCCTTATTGCCGAGCGCCAGACAGGGTAACAACAAGTACCATCTTTTAACGTCTTTTGGTATGACGCGGCTGGGGATCGAACCCCGGACCTTCCGCTCTCCGGGGGGACGCTCTACCACTAGACCACGGAGGCTGTCACCAAGAACAATAAAGTACTGGTCCACAGATAAGTGAGCACTAATCAGGATTTTCATGCTTGTGGTCCAGTGACCAGTAACACCAGAGTGATGCAGAGCTCCAGATAAGCTTTTGGTGTTGTGGGTATTTTACCCATGCATTTTAAAATCATTGGGTATCAGTAATTCTATCTGGGTATTCAAATTTCTGTAACCCACTAGTTTTTACACATGTGGGTATTTAAGTTAAATATTTAAAAACACTTTTCATCTAGTCCCTGCAAACTGGTGTCATGTGGGTTAGAGAGCTTTATAGGACTCACAAATACCACGATACTTCCACAAGAAAGTGTGATGGCAAATGATCATGATGTAACTGTCATCGTGGAGTTTGGCTAGGTTGACGGAGTGCCCATTTATAATTTCAAAATAAGTTGCTGATTCGCTAATCGAATATGCAGGGTAACTTCACAATATTTTGATGATACGCACAAGTTTTATTTTTGTAGCCTATCTGTAATGTTCGTTGCGTATTTGATACGCTTGGATTTTATTTTACTGTGTATTTCTGCATTTCTAATGCGTACTTTACGCATATATGCAGCTTATCTGGAGCTCTGGTGATGCATTTCAACAAACATCACAAGAGAAAACAGTTATGTGAATAATGTTTTAAGCAAGTCAACATAATCTGTAATTATACGAAAGCTTCAAACAGCCCTCACTGTTAGGGTTTGATGACGCCCAATCAGCAAACTCACGAGGACACAAACCTATGTAGTCATCTCAGGTTTGTTTGTTTTACTCTGCACTCAGCAATATTCCACCTGTATGACAGCAGTCTGTAAATAATCATGTCTAGACCAGAAAATCGAGTGATTGACATCATGAGCATGGGGATACGATGACATGCATCAACCAAGTCAGCGAGCATGACCACCCTATCCCGTTAGTCGCCTCTTACAACAAGCATGGGTTGCTGAAGACCTATTCTAACCCAGGTCTTCCTGGGGTTTCATCTCATGACAAGCATGAAGTACAGGAGACCAAGCAGGAATTGATGTGAATGTTGATATTATAATGGTATGAATTGGCTTACCTTAGCTTTTCATCCCATGTGAAATTCAACCAAATGTCATCTGCAAACAACAAAAGTTGATATATGTCTTGTACAATCATATGCGAAAATATCTTAAATTCTGAAAATGGTACCAGTCATACATGAAGATTGCACAAGACAGGCCAGAGATTGCACAAGACTTCTTGACAATTGCACAAGCTTGGCCAGAGATTGCACAAGACTATTGGGAGCATGAATAGGACTGACCAATGGTTGCACAGGACAGGCCAGAGATTGCACAAGATGACGGAGAGATTGCACAAGCCTGCCCAGAGATTGCACAAGACTACTTAGAGATTCTATAAGGCTGACCAATGTTTGCACAAGACAGGCCAGAGATTGCACAAGATGACGGAGAGATTGCACAAGCCTGGCCAGAGATTGCACAAGACTACTTAGAGATTCTATAGGGCTGACCAATGTTTGCACAAGACAGGCCAGAGATTGCACAAGATGACGGAGAGATTGCACAAGCCTGGCCAGAGATTGCACAAGACTACTTAGAGATTCTATAGGGCTGACCAATGGTTGCACAAGCCTGGCCAGAGATTGCACAAGACTACTGGGAGATTGAATAAGACTGACAAATGGTTGCACAAGACCGGCCAGAGATTGCACAAGACTCCTGGGAGATTGAATAAGACTGACAAATGGTTGCACAAGACAGGCCAGAGATTGCACAAGACTACTGGGAGATTGAATAAGACTGACAAATGGTTGCACAAGACAGACCAGAGATTGCACAAGACTCCTGGGAGATTGAATAAGACTGACAAATGGTTGCACAAGACAGGCCAGAGATTGCACAAGACTCCTGGGAGATTGAATAAGACTGACAAATGGTTGCACAAGACAGGCCAGAGATTGCACAAGACTCCTGGGAGTTTGAATAAGACTGACAAATGGTTGCACAAGACAGACCAGAGATTGCACAAGACTCCTGGGAGATTGAATAAGACTGACAAATGGTTGCACAAGACAGGCCAGAGATTGCACAAGACTCCTGGGAGATTGAATAAGACTGACAAATGGTTGCACAAGACAGGCCAGAGATTGCACAAGACTCCTGGGAGTTTGAATAAGACTGACAAATGGTTGCACAAGAGAGACCAGAGATTGCACAAGACTCCTGGGAGATTGAATAAGACTGACAAATGGTTGCACAAGACAGGCCAGAGATTGCACAAGACTACTGGGAGATTGAATAAGACTGACAAATGGTTGCACAAGACAGACCAGAGATTGCACAAGACTACTTGACAATTGCACAAGCTTGGCCAG